TTTTTTCGCGATTGTTATCACATGAACGAAATATTGACACGTCTACTATGTATGAGAAATTGTCTCTCAGTGATTACTTTCCATGCATGTAAAATATAATGAATAGATATATCATCTTCAGTCAGTTATGATGGACCACGTCGATAGCAACCGATATTAATTGTGAATTGCGTATTCATCCATCAGTGTCGATTTCAAGATGACATTATTAACATGGATATGCAAATCACTGTAGTCAAGGTTTATGCTACTCATCCAGTACCAGTACCCACATATACATTATAATGGTCAGGGCATTAACGTTAGTCACTAAAATTGACATACGAAAACAGATCCAATGAACAGATTAAGAACAAAATGCACGTTTTAGGCATCTATATTCTGAAGGGTTTGCATTTATCCAGTAAACAAATTAACTTCACCTTCTGAATCAATGGAACACACTCAACGTTGAAGATACATCTTTAATTGCAATAATCGTAGTTAATGTATAGTAGCGATAGTTTTGCATAACTAATTAGTCCACAACTGACATATAATCATTATACCGAGTTCAATACGTGTTATAATTATCGTCATCGTACTAAGGAAGGTATTGTGCAAATTCGCTCTGAGAATATATCAAACCCAAGTCTTCAATTTTGTATTCATTACTCATGGTTTAAAATGTGCATATTATAGCTAATTATATTTCGATTTCGGAAACTGTTTTTTTAATAGTATTCTCCAATCTCCTGGATTCTGGATACAATTAATTCAATTTGTGATCATTCTTGGCAATATAAGTAAATATTCTATTAATAAATATTCCGTGGCGACGTTGACATCGAGGAGATAAGTATATCATAAGATTAAACACTAAGCTTGGTTCCTTAACAAAATAATTGCTCTTTCCACAGCGACTAGACAAATTGCGCTTGCTCATGCGCAATGTGCGTCGCTGTAAATCACTTAATGCGATGTATATCTTTTATATATACAGGAACATATCGGGTTGCTAAATTGTATCAAAACTTTTTGTCATCAATCATTTTTTTTCAGAATGTTACCATACAAAGCACTAAGCCGAGTAACTGGAGTCCGAGCCTTGTATACATCAAACAGTTTTGGGATTAATGATGAAAATAACAGTAAACTAAAGTATGCATCTAAATCACCAATGATTTAACCTTGATTCGTCTGGAGAAATCGAGTTGTTCTTAGCGTTTCACAAATGTATGTCTGTAGTTAGAAGCACAATTTGCAGAAGTTATATCGCGGCTAAACATCGACTTGGTTTCGGCGGCGATCTTCAAATAGCGTAGGTTTAGAATCCGAAGGGAAAGTCATCAGCTTGTGTGCACAGGTCAAAACGATCTTAATTTCTGCACTAACTCCCAGGGCAACTTAAGTGGTTAATATGCTAAATAATTAACCATGTGTTTGTTCTGTATATTGAATTTAAAGATGGTGAGGTAATTGACGCTCCATACGTCATCAGTCCGTGAAATAAAATTCAAAGTAACCCGTAGTAAAATCATTATTCGTGCATATGCTTAAGCCAAGGTCATCTGAGTATACTGGCATAATTCTGGAATATTAAAGTTGGTGAGTTTGGGGGATCTTAAGACTCGGAATTTAACTCAGTGAATCAGCAGAAATATCTGTATTGTAGAATTACGTTAAAAGAGGGAAATTTCTGTTTATTTAGTTTTAAAAACTAGATCGAAAGCAAACGAAATATTCAAAATTCGACATTGCTATCACCAGTTCGGCCATGGACCACATGACTATTCACAGTATATAGTGACTGAAACGTGACTTCCGGCATACATAATTTTCAAGCATTAATATAGTTAGCAGGATTATAAAATCGTTATTCAAAATGAGTACATTTGTGCGTGGTGGTGTCATTAAACTTTTAGTTCAGTGAGATCTTTCAACTTTCGTTTTCGTGGGCTCATTAAAATCAGTGTGGTTGGACGCCACTAATCCACCAGTCACGTCTGCCCTGATATGCTTTAATCTAAACGACGTGCTAAGTCACTCTCCGCGTAAACACAATGAACATCCTGTCAAAAAATAAGACACCCTTCTTTTTTATGGACATCGACGGTTATATTCCAATCCTCAGCTGGCCAATTAAGTGAAACATCGTCATTTACAGAAAACGCCAATAGTAGTGAGACCGCAATCGTGTAGTCCCCTTTCTATACGCACATGGAGCATAACTTGTAATGCACCATAGCCAACAGTGTTCAATTAAAAAACAGTTGTAGAAAGTGATCAGGTGCGACGCATTGCACAGGGACTCATGCGTTTAGAGTTCGATTGACAGTAAGCTATTAATAATGTAAATTCCCTGAAATCATATGATGGTAGTAAGAAGACCACTCGGGAATTGCAAACCACACTATTATTTCTCCATATATCAGCCGGAGTTATTTGGTCATTAAATATTACTCAGTAATTTACTGTTAATGATATGATTCATCAAACTGGAGACAGCTACAATCACTTTCCTGGTAATGTGTCTAGTTTATCCCTAATGTTATAATGTTATGAATGGTTGTCTTATATACAATGTGACTGTAACGATCAACGCATTTCATTGCTCGCCATGAGGACATTGAAATAAAGTAATACAGTAACTTTACGTGCACCAGAATGTAAAGCGTGTGTTTAGTGAACAAACAGAACACAAAAACATTTTTGTAGATGAGCCATCGGGGCCCATAACTAACCCGTCCAGTGTAATTGCCGTTGGAACCCAAGGCATACAGAAAAACATGACCATAGACACGTATGGTGACAATAGGTGATTTTCCGTACAATTGCGAGATCTCGCGAGATGCATGAAAGACGCGCGTCGAACGTCTGCCGCAAAAATCGAACGATTTGATTTTGAACTAGAATTTCTTTATTTCGCAGCTTACATTGACCGGCCGATCTTCGACAGAGGAATATTGCTTCCGAATACCCTTACTTAATCGAAATTGCCTATCATCAAATGTGGACAGCACATTATTAAGCATGGAAATGTCTCCCAAAATACTTTCGCGTTTGTCGAATCCCACGCGATGTTTGACGCGACTACGACGCTATGACCTTTGTTTGTTCTGTTTTTACGTTCGATTTCACGCTTAACGCGTGATTCTCGCAGTGAACGGAAAATGGTGACAATCATCCCAGCATTTTGATAAGAACATTAGGGTTAAACATAATCTCGTCTATGCATTCCTGGTGATAAGCAGAAATCGTTAAACCAAGTTTACTCAATTTCAAATTAACGTGTAAGCCTATCAAATAGCATTAGCTTAAAAGCTGTTGATACGAAATCGATATCAATACAATCCCAGCCATCCTGGATATCGATATAATGTTATAAAGTTACTAATGCGTTCTTGACAACAGTTGTGTTAACATTAGGTAATGCCAAACACAGTGCATTCCGTTAGTACTATGGTTACTGGATTCGATCACATAGTGAATAACTCAATATGTCTTATATACTTGTGGGCGGAATAGTATGTATTGATTAGGGAATTACAAGAGGGGTGGTTTAAGTAAAGTAATCTATAGCTGACAAAGGTCCACTCATGCGGTAGGCTGATATTTAGCCACCACCCACACCCCACTACACACACACACACACACACATACATACATACATACATACATACATACATACATACAGGTATATCATGAAAAGTGACGTAGTTACTTTTAATTCACCTAAACTACATTAAAATAATGCAATGCTGTATAGAGTATAAAATATTCCCCAAATTAATTATAGTTTCGTTTAGACCCTAAATTGGAATTAAATTGGAATTTAGGGTTAAGAAGATGATAAGCATGTATTCATAATATAACCTAAACCCGAAATATAATGCCAGGGAATGTATTGAAACTGTAATATAATATAATATTAAATATTAACATTTTCAGTCATATAGATTGGCTCTACTTTTTGGTAAAGTTTCACCTATACGGAAGTTATAAAATAAAATGGCTTCAACTTTATGTAAATCCAACGCACGTAAACACTACTACGAAGATAGAGCCGCGGTGTGCCACATGGTCATTTTAGTGAGTACGACAATTCATTACAGCGTTGATTAGATTTAGTCATGCTCGCAACACTAGATTCACGCTTACATTGCACAAAATGGCCCTGACATTTAATTCACAGAGTGATCATATAATATCCAGTCACATAATATATCCACTTGAGGTTTTCGTTGAATTATTCAAGACGAACCGCACAGCAATCAGCTTTAATGGTGACTAAAAACAACTGAGTAGTACCTCTGTGCTTCTTGGATTTTTCAACACGTGGCACGTGTACCTAGCATGATGTAACACTGTTTAACCCATACCAGTTGTACAAAGTGGTAACAGATTTATAAACGAACTATTTAGATTTTCAATTGCCGTGTAACTAAACTATATGTTAAGTTCATGTTCAGTGAACATGACCTAAAATGTAATTATGCTCAAAGCACTTTCCAATTTCAATATTTAGCAAAATAGTGCATTGCAAAGGCTATGTGTATTCTATTTTCAGTACTCAATTTAAACATTAGACAGTCAGCACGTACTCACATGTGATATACCGTGTGTTAGATTGCTTTATCAGAGTGTAGCAAAAGAAGCTTTTTCAGAAGAAGCACGTCTTGTTTCTAAAGTCATGATTACAATTTGACAACTTAGACTTGAAGTATGAAGTCTTCAATTACCAAACCATGCGGCGCGTGTTCACCCGGATGATTGGTATTTATAGTAAACTCGGTTGTAATTTAAATGATTACTATTTTTTCTGTACAAAGCTGTTCTTATAATGCATTTCAACGACAAGTGGGATGTTTATTAAATGTAACCTTCACTAACGTACCAAAGAAGCAGTATGGGCTTTTCGGAACAAGTGATGGTTGATGCTAAAACGACGTTAATATATCGTAAATATATGTGATAAACTGTCTACAATATTGCCAGCGAGAAGAAAGAAAAGTGTTTACCTTCTGTGTGAACGGCTGACACGTATGTCCAGTTATATCGCAACACGATATCCACCATTGCCTGCGCTTGAAGTGTGTCAGATGGAACGACTCTTAAAAAGTACTCGTAAAATCTCTTGTCGCTAAGATCTTTACTGGTTGCCGAGTACGCTATCTGGGGAATGTTGAAAAGTTGAAGAAGGTTTTGCACCTGAATGGCCACTTGGCTCGATCCGGGACCAATCACGCCGACAATTGGTTGGGAAGGTTGTGTTTTACAGCTTTCTCTTACTTCTAAGTGACTGTCATCCTCGGAGATAGAATCTCTGATGAATTCAATGCTCTGCTCTAAGGCTACTGACGAATACCAACACGAGTCGCGGATCTCCGCACCTAAAGTGATTCCCGGTAGCAACGAATCGTTAGCGTTGATCTGATCTAGCGTGTTGAACATGGCTTCGACTCGCTGTATCCCGTACTGTTCCCGTATTCCGCCACATGTACGGTAAGTGGCGTCGGTCGCGCGTGGTTGTTTGTGCACCGAAAACAGAGCTCCTATGATCAAGTCTCCATCCATCCTGGCAACTTTACGGTTTTGTCGCGCTTTTTTGTGTATGTCACTGTCTTCCGCCATAGTACTGTTGCCAAGAAAATAGATCAGCAACACAAGCAAGAAACACGCATTATAGTGTCTCTGATTGGTTTTCGACAAACTGCCATCACGAATATTATAACTGCGACTCATCATTGATCCGTGCATGTTCTCGCTAAACGGAAAAATAATTCATATAAACAGTTTGTCATATATGAATACACGTGACGTGAAATCCACATCTCAAACATTCGTTGTGATTATATCCCCTACGCTGGAACCCTCTGGAAACGCATATCGACAAGTATATGACTTGCGCTCCCTGAGCAGACTCAGAAAGCCCATCTCTTCTCATGATGTTCAGAAATCCCGTTAAATCGTACAAAGGGCAAACGGCTGCGCAAACGAATACTTGTCAGCAACCACTTGAAATGTAGACCATAATCAACGATGACAAACTGATGAAATGCGCGTGTAGATGATCGCCTCGCTTTTAACCAATTGCGAGCACTTCAATAGATCCACTCCACACAACCAGCCATTGAACGCACCCGAATGTTCCGTGCGTGGCGAGTGTATATAGAACGGGGGAAGACCTCCAGCAGCGTGTTGTTTTCTGCAAATCACAGTGAACTTTGATGCCAAATTCTATTAAAAACAAAAAAATGTACATTAAATAATATGGACTAACAGGAAATTAGTGACACAATTAACTACAGTAACTTGCAAATAGACATGCTAGTGTATAATTTAATGTTTCATTAAGATATAATTTCACATGACGTATGCTACAGTGCAACAATTAGGGACGAGCTGTAGGTCTTACACTCACGTCCTAATGGATTGGTTCAGTGTAATTTATAATTGATTTATTTCGAAATAAATTAGTCAGCTGTTCGCTGGCAGCAGCGTTACAATGTAACACTGGCGTCTGAGATACGACTTTTCGGAAACATGACGAAGTTCATGGCCACGTGCCCGTTCAACCCGAAGCTACTTCTTTGAGTTATTGTATAAATTCAGACACGCCATTGCGCTTTACATGTTTATGGGAACGTGCTACAATATATGACTCTACTATCGATCCTGAGTTTACCCACATACGCTATTGTATGCATACATACAATATACTCCAGCGAGTGACACCTGTTCACTAATATGTGTGACGGATATGACTGTCGATACTAGGTAACCATCTTCAGGGGGTTCGAATCATATCACTTTTGGACTCGTTAGACGTTGATCGATGGATACAAAAACTGCGACGATCAGATGAAGAGTAGTATCAGAATCCCTGTGGACTTTCTCAGTGTGAATTTCACGACATAATAACACATACGTTTTTTTGCATTTTCATATTTTACTATGACCCCTGGCAAGTAAAACTGCGTGCCTATGGTGACTTGTATATCACATGCCTACCTACCACTGTCTATCAGGGTAACCAGCGCACGATCAATAGCCGGTCTTAAGCTTTTCACCAAATCGGTTGGTGAAAATGTTGTTCGAATTCCAACAAAATTATTTAAAATTGCGTTGAATGTATGAAAACCCTAAAGAAACCCTAGCCATTATGGTTGACTTGGGTATCAATTATCTCTAGAGATGATAATCGAGATAACAGGTCAGTGACTAATTATGACTATATCTGTCTATAAATGTGTTCCTGAAGCTACAAAATGTGATTTGTAGATAATTGTATTCGACAAATGAAAACGGCATTGTTTCCGGTATCAGACATTGAGAGCTATCGATCGCAAACTCGTTGCATAACATCGTGAGAATCGTAGGCACATCTAGGGGTTTGTCACGTCGTACTGAAGATGCCGATCTAATAGTGATTTGACTTATCATGTTCTTACTAATATCTCGCACAAACTATGGTTATCGGGACATCATTTAGTAATAAATAACGTTAATAAATGTTTGCTCTCCAATCCAATGAATGATTATCTACGCTTCAGATGCTCCGTGTCGTTAATTGCGTACTTTATACTATTTCATTATTCGCGATAGCGACTTGACAATAAACACTCTTCTCTTGCGTTTCTCGATGACGGGGGAGGAGGTGATTTGAAATGATAAGCCACGCTAAAATCATACATAGGAGATGCTGTTGCCGCAGTAAATTATACCGAGCGGCTGTTGCGATAGTGGTTATCACCCCATCGAGATAAGTCCCTTGTTGTTAAGCTTTTTTATGATATATCATGATTATATAGTCTGTGTCATGTATACCGCTCTGAGCAAAATTAATAATGCACGTCACGTGATTATATGTATAGTTATTTATTTATAACGTCGCATTGATGAGTACGTCTAGTGGTATAAATATAATTCTGTGTATGGGTCGGGAGTCAGCGGGGGCGTACGACGCGCTATGGGAATGCTCTATTATGATCGATGTGATATGACATTGATTCCGTCTATTCGTCTGTTTCAGGGTTTCATTACGCAGTGTACAACAAAGAAATCTTCATGATATACTACTCTTGGAGACACAGAACTGTCTAGGGCGTTCGTAAACGGAACACTTCAAAATGAGATCGTCAATCAAAGGGAAATCAAACTGTAAACACTTAAGTTTCATTTTCAATTTTTTTTCCTATAAATAAAACTAGTCATTTTTTGGGACGTCAAAATGACGAAAATTGCTGTAAGCAATGTTGTTTAAATCGACTACTGGTTTTAATTGGCATTTATAGTATATCAACATCTCTCAAAAATAGTTTTCATTGCAGGCTGTACACTATACATATTGTATACGTACGTTATTTCAAAATTATTATCATTATTGTTAATATTATTATTATTTTTATAGGGATATTACGAGGATACCTCAAAGTATACACGAAGAAAGTACAGCTGGAGTATCGATGCGCGGTGTACTGTCTGAGTGCATACTTTGAGATATCCTCGTAATAACCTTTTTATAATACATATTTTCCTTCCAAGCATTCACCATAGGAATGCCAAAATCCAAAATTTTTAGAACAGAATCAGCGAACTTCTTTGTGCGGAGTCCGGTCAAACCCTTGTGGCAACCATGTTTGTTTTTATTATTAGAGGATGCTTACGCGCGTAATCATTCCATATTTAGAATTCGCATTTCCTTATATGGTAGGATGAAAATACCCCGTAAAATACCGCAAAATTACAACACGCTGTAACTTATGGCGTTACGATGACAGATGTATAATTATAAACGGTATTATTATTATTATTAAACGTTATTACTTTTTGGTGAAACCCTCCTTGGGGAAAGAACACGTTCGATTAATGCTATGTAAACTATTAAGACTAACACATACACTGAGAAGAGGAAAGGTCAATTCCGCGGATGAATCATTACCCAGCACAATGGGTCTTTCGACTCATATCCGCACGCTACTGGGAAAGAAATCCTGAACTCGAGCGTGAATCGGCGTCGCACGTGACATTATTCTCTTTATTGTAGAATATGTTCTTTGCTCTGAAATGAATTAACCGTGAATTTGATGAGTATTTTCTTGTCTTGATTTATTATAATTTAACATTTACCTAATATCGACAACTTAAGTTCGAAATTGAATTAATATTATCGAAGGTAATGATATATTTTAATCGTCTACTATTGTTTTATATGTCAATTTCTAAACAGACATGATTCTGAACAAATCCATTAAGTGGTGCACATTTTCAATTATCGAGCATGATATGAAAAAAGCCTTAACACATTTGGAAAACATTTTCACCAATGTAATTCAGATCTAACAAAACTGAAACTCGGTCGATGTACTTTCGTATACATCCGTTAGATAGCAGGTTCCGGTCAAAGGGTGTAGTATTCAATGACAGTATTTTATGACAGTCTATAGAGTACAATGTACTATCACGAAAAACAGAAAGGATCAGTGATGTTGAGTCAGCCTCAGGTAAACCATCTTTGCATACTACCACTGTGGGACATCTTCCCCACATGTGTGCATTATGTTGTTCGAAACCATGGCAACAGTCATTTAGGACTGCGTGCGGTATCTTCTGCAGTGAAATGTCAGTATCATCGCTCGCGATAGTTTAAAGCGAAATTGGTAGCAGTTTAATACGAAACTTTCATTGTTCAATTTCGTCGTGACTCGATCAATTTCATATATTATTGATGATCTAATAATACACAACGAATTAAAAAATCGAATTTGTATTTTTCAATAATGATAACACAACGAACTATTTTATTAGATTCTTGCTCGAAATTGTTAAGAGTCACGCCACTTCTAGTCTTCACATCGCCACAGTAACGTGATTTCAATATGTGTTGATCCTTCGATTTCGTGCCTTGTTGTAAAATTTCAATGGGTCCTCATGGAAAAGTGATCAAACCCAAATTTACAATATTGGGTCTGCATTATAATCAATCGTCAGCACTGAGTAGACAAAAAGCCAGATGTAGCATCTGCAAGGTCGAAGTATGACTTCACGAAGAACGCGCCACTCACCGGAATCTTAGTTATAACACACGATTCTGATTCATGCCAGCCATCTATTGACCCTAGTGTACCGCGTTTACACAATGCCAGAATGTGAGATGTTTATCAGCCAAATCTATATTACTATTATTGTTATGCAGTATTACTTAGACAGATTAAGTCACATTAGTCATATTTATTTCTACAAATGTTTTTTTTCTGTTTTTCCGAGATTATATCATAAAATATAACCCGAAAAGTTTTGTTATATGGTTTTTCTTCATATATATATATACGTTGAAAATGTCTTAGACGTCGTATTATAATAATATCCAATAAAGCTGTTTATTGATTACTTTAGAACACGTTAATTCATCACCATGACTCTTTCGTATATCCTTATGGCATAAATTTCGTGTGCCTAACACATTTACTTTTGAATGTATTTGCATATATAACTTATAGTGTCGTGAATGACCATGTTATCATCAACACAACCACACGATACAAGTGTTCACTCAAGCAGACACATAATTTAGAGTAAGTGCACCCTTCTCTCATCATATATCATTTCGCGTGTATATAAATTCAATAACT